ACCGCGTCCTGCAGCCGCGCGTCGAACCGCCCCGCTGCCCCCGCCCCCAGCAGCCGCGCCTCCAGCTCCGCCAGCAGCGCGCGCGCCCGGGCGTTGTCCTGCTCCCTCAGCGCGGCCACGAGGCGCGCGGCGAGCTCGCGGTCCGCCCACGCCTGGATCTCCGCCGCGACGCCCCCGGCCGCGCGCGCGATGCCCCGCCTCGCCTTGCACCGCCGGCAACGGGCCCGCAGTCCCCCAACCACCCCGCCTCCCTCATCCCCGGCCGTCGACCTGACACACGAGGAGAGGGCCCTGATGGTGGCGAGCAGGCGGCAGAGCGGGTGCAGCTCGGGGTCGCCGGCGAGCAGGTCGTCGGCGCCGGCCTCGAGCGCGAGCAGCGCCCGCAGCGCCGGCCCGTCCTCACCATCCTCCCCGCACTCCACGCTCCGCGCGGCGTCGCGCAGCGCCCGCAGCACCTGGAGGAAGCCGTCGTCCCGCTCCCCCTCCTCCATCGGGGAGGAGTGGAGGAGAGGCGCGCAGCGGGCGCCCGAGGCTTGGTTTTATCCCGCCCTCCTACCCGCCCGGTAAAATCCCGAGCACACGGCGGCAGTCGTGGACTGACCGGTGGATAGATGGATAGATGAGACGATGGTGTTTTTACTTTTCACCGGGAGAGGCGGGGCCGATCCAACCACTCTCGTCCAGCCGGCCCCGTCGGTCGCCGGTGGCCGTGGCGCGCGTGATGCGTGCGTGCGTGCGTGCTACGTCGGAGCGGCTCGGAAGTCGGAATCTTGTTGGCTTGACTGGAGAAGAAGACGAGGGGCATGTGGATCCGTCCGGCCCGGCCCATGCAATAATCCACGGCGATCAAACCAGATGAGATTCTCAAGTGCTGTCGAATCGGATCGCAATGCGTGATGAGTTGCCGTAGGTCGTACTGGACATTGAATCCGTGTGGGTGTGGGACTCCACGCGCCGCATCAAGCACTCGTTCCGGTGGTGGTATATCCGGATGGATCCTTGGCACTTGGCGGGGAGGAAGAGGGAATATGTGCCGGGTTTGTTCGGTTTTTGACATTGTCGCGGCAACTGCTGCTGGAGAGGGACTTCTTGGCCAGGATTTTTTTATTTTATTTAGTTTTCTTCTCTCTTCTCGCTAACGAACAGCAAGGGAGCTTGTTTAGTCCACGCGTCCCATCCTGTAATCTGGCCTCTTTTTTTTTTGCAGGGAAATCAGAGAGCTTTATTCATATGAAGGCATTCTTAGGACAATCAGCCAATAGGCTGGTCACTAAGAAGCTAGGGGTCTCGTCAAACCAGCTATCGGTCACATTCAGAGTGCAAGCACGCTTTGCACAGAGATGCGCCGAAACATTAGCTGACCTGATTACATGCTGAATATCGAACAAAGTAAAATTATTACATAGCTCTCCTATCTCTAACAATAAAGGAGCCACAACTGAACGAGAATTGTGGCGAGTGGTCCAGAGCGTCACCATCTCCAAGCAATCAGTTTCCATTATCACATGAGAGAAGCCTCGGAGAGAAGCAAACCGAACTCCGTCTCGCAGTGACAAAACCTCCATGATTAAGGGATCAGAGATACCCAAGTATGGCTTGCACCAAGCTCCCAGGAACGCCGAAGAGGATCGAGCCACCCCTCCCGCACCGCCCCTGCCATCAGCAAAATTTAATGCTCCATCCGTGTTGATTTTTACAACACCGTCATCAGGTGGTCTCCAGCCAAAACCAGGTAAGATCATCGCATCTCTCCTTGGTAGATGAAGAAGGGCGATCACCTCCTTAGTGGCCCTGAGCGTAGCCGTAGGATTCCTGCCCTCCTCTCCATGTTTGAT